GGTTAAATTCTCTGGGGTAGGCCAAAGACCCTGCATTTTAAAACCAGCTTCTATGATGACTCTGACCTTCACTAAGTGGTTTTGGGAGCCAATAATCTGAGAATATCCATTAGCCAATATTAGTCACGGTGAAGACACTTTGTTCTGTCCGATCTTTAATTCGGGCCAACAACCATTTGTTTCTGACTAAGAGGGAAAACCAGTATTGCCTACTGTGCGCCAGGCACCGACTTGGCACAGGAGACTTTCCTTCTCGGGAAACACAGAGCATGCAAACTGTTCCTTGGGGAAATCAGACTTCCAACCAACGGGGCTTGCAATTTCGGTTATGATGACACCTTTAAGCCCTACCATCATTTTGGGATGCTGGAGATGTTGCTAATCAGTTTTTTGGCAACCTCACTGCCATCAAGTCAATTCTGACTCCCAGTGATTCTGCGGGCCAGAGTGGAGCCATCCCACTGGGTTCTGAGGCTGTACATCTTTACAAGAGCAGAAAGCCTCATCTTCCTCCCAAGGAGCTACTGGTGGGTTTGAACTGCACACCTAATGGCTACACCTGGTAGAACTAGGAGTTCTACCACATCTGGTTTAAGAGAAAAGACTTCTTTCCCCACCTCCCAAACAAGCAAAAGACATTCTATGCTTTGGGGCTGTGGAGTCAAGAGTTTGCATGTGCCCAAGGGTCTCCAGAGGGTAAGCAGGAAGGAGTTTGTGGAAGGGGTTGTAAAGGCAGGTCCAGGACAACTGTAAACATATAGGCAGCCACTCTGTCTCTTCTCTCTTTCTGGGAGAGAAAGAAAATCCTGGGGGAGGGGAGAGTGGTAATGGGTAGCTGCCAGTGAGCAGGACAGGAGACATTTCAAAGCACTCCCAATGGGGTCCCTGTGCTGTCGCCCCCTGTTGAGAGAGCACTCACAGCATCAGGACCCAGGGGAACACAGGTTTGAGCAAGTAATACGATTAGTAAGATAGATTTCCTAAACACCATGAAAATCTGAGAGACAAAGTAAAAAGTTACTTGAATTAGCTTATAATCATATAGTTCTATAACACTTGCCTCAGGAAGTGCTCTCTCCATAGAAAATGGTAGATTAAAAAAAAAAGATAGAAAACGGTAGATTCAGATATTTCTAGAGTGGACATATATGATAGGTAAGACCTGTGCCAGAACTGAATCCCTTATTCCTTTGCTTGGAAAATCCCTCTTTGCCCAGCCTGGCCCTTCCCCATAACAATGTGTGCCTACACAATAGTTGATTAGCAAATGTGCATTGAATCTGAACCTGACAAACCCAGAGTATAGACTTACAACCAGAGCTGATCAAGAACAACTCAGGGAATGAGTTGGCAATTCTGTGGCCCAAGGAGTGGGACATACCCAGGACTTGGAGACTAAGCGGTGCAGAGAAGGATCAAAGGGAATGTAGTCTGTGTGCAAGTACCAGGCCACTGCTAACAAGGCAGAACAAAGACCCAACCCTCCACCCACTCTCACCCATAGTTATGAAAACAAACCCAACCCTCCACCCACTCTCACCCATAGTTATGCAAACAAACAACTCTTCTTCCTTTGGGCACTTTCTTTCCTATTTAGCTGAGGCTAAAGCTTCAACCGTTTTCTCAAGGGAAATGGTGTGGAAAACTCATGGGTACAAATCAAGGGTTAATCATGTGTCAAGAGGGACCCAACCTTTTGGCACACCTATTTAGCAGTAAAAATCTGATCCTTGTTGCCATTAAGAGACTGTTAAGACACCTAGGCTGCCAGTCCCCTGGCCGCCCCCAATCTTAGAAAACAGATCTAAGTGGATGGGTTTTGATCAGACTCCACAATCCGCCTGGGTTTTCAGTATTAAATCTTGGGTTACAGACAGCTGGCGGTCATTGCTCTCAAAAGAGGTTTACCGTGATAACCTACTGGAGTCTCGTGACAGGAACCTGGTAGGACTGTGCGAGCAGAGACATCCAGCCTGAGGACGCTGGTGAGTAAAGTCGAGTGGGGCAGGGCAGAAGGAAGAGAGGCTGTGAAGGCAGTGACATCACATTTGTGGAGACTTTTGCATGGACTACACAGAGGTGGGCTGGATGGTCAAGAGGCTCACCTACATTGCAGGCCTGCACTAGCTCTGAAGGGACTTTTCCTTAGAGAAGAGCATTTGTATCTCTCTTTATAATAGCTAGTCAGGGCTTTTGTCACCCGACAGGATATATGTAGCACTTCATCTCCCAGTCTAAACCCAGAAATTCAGCAGCCCAGGAATCCTTGGGCCCCTTTAGCTTTGTCCTAAAGCTGAAGCTTAGCTTGGTGTCTCAACATCTTCCTCCCTTTTTCCTCATCTTGGCTTAACTTCAGCCGCACCTGGCAGCCTACAATTTTGGTCCAGTTGTGACTATTCACAACTCCAAATCCCTGCAAGAAACTTATTCCCTGGACTCGTGTTTTCTGGACTTCCTCAAAGTCGAACTTTAGACACTGGCTCAATCTTTCATGACAAGTGGGCCAGTGAAACAACAATAAAATCACACCCACCATAAACCGGAGTCTGTAATAGTTTTCAAAGGCATTTGAATAAGCCAAGAGGGGACTCTTTAAAGTCTTTATTCACAGGGTGTTTTGAGAAAACACCCTCTTTCATTACTGCTTTGCACAATTTATTTATTATTTCGGTTATTTTCCCATAGCTCCAAAGAAGGAAGCATTAAAAAAAAAGTTCAAGGGAGCAGAAAGTGTGCTAATGTAAAGCTTGTCTTTGCATCTTTGCATCCCTCCTCTTCATTTCCTGTGCCAATTGCACTTTTATTTCCCGTCTCTCTACACTCAGTTAAAAAAAAAAGGAAAAAAAAACCCACCACCACCAACAGAAAACCAACCATATTATCAAGGGAAAGACGTGAGCCCATTAACATTGTGAGCCCTCAGATTTCACTCGCGAGACAACGCAGCACTTATCTGATGGAACAGAAGCTTTAATTGCTTCGAGGTACAAGCCGTCGTCCAAACCTCTGAGATCTGACCCATCCCTGGGAAGCCTTTGCACCCTCCAGCCAAGCGTCTCTGAGAAAGCACACACGCCCAGCCCTCGCGCGCGTGCCAACCTTCCAGACCGGAGGGCAGGGGGTGGGGGGCACAAACACAATTTGACCTGGCTAACTCTCTATTTTGACAACATAGTCAAAAAGGAGTGGGGGTAGGGAAGGCTACCTCTGCTAAACTTCCCCACCAGGCGGAAACTTTATCTTCTGTCCAAATCAAAATCTGGCAATCCAACAAATCACAAGCTGGCAGTGCAGCTCCTCATGATGACCCCTGGAAGGGGTAGAAGACTCTCAAGGGAATACCGCGGGGCAACGTGAAACCTAGTCAAAACCGTATCCAGATACCGCCCCACTCCTGCTACAAGCACCCACCTTGCCATTTCATTTAGTCCCAGGGGTCAGGAGGAGGAGGAAGTGGGGAGGGGAGCTTTAGGAGGATAACCTTTGCCAAGAAAATCCAAAGCACAGAGGCTTCAGAGAAAAAGTGGAGAGGAGAAACTGCCTTCCCAGGAAAAAGTCTTTGGACCAATAAACCCTCATCGGTCAAGGTCCACGCTCCCTTTTAACCATTCCCACACCGCAGAGCCCAGAATCCGCCGTCTAGGGAACCAGCTCCAATCCGCAATCCAGAACAAGCGTTAACTTTCCCTACCCCCACGCCCCATTTCATCTTCGCC